AAGATAAATATTCCTGTCAAATAAGTTTTCTACGTCTGCCAAAAATAACTACGTTTTTAAAAACTCTACACTCATTTGAAAAAGCTTACTTCTGTACAGGTTGTTTCCCCTCTTTGTGGCACTAATATTAGATAATTATTGGAATCAAGAGCGTGCTATTGATAGGTGCCAGCTGTCTTTACCGTGTCATGCCATTTTAACAGAAAGAACATTTTCTGACAGTTTCGTAACAAGGAAGAAACTGTGAGATCAAACAATGGAACCAGTTAAGATGAAAAGCCCTGGCAACAAAACTACCAAGTCAGTAAGTTTCTCCAAAAGCAGCCTATGGGGCAGGTGGGGCGAGAAGGGGAGAGAGCATGCGCAAAAAATACTCTTTGCTGGAAAGCAATCCAATGAATGACAGAAGGATACGCTGCCAAAAAACTAAAGGGAAAAATTGTAGTAACTTCCCAAGCATGCAAAATTGAGAAGAATGAGAGCACAACTCAACTACCACAATATTAAAAAAAAAATTACAAAATTAAATAAAAATGTATGCATTAATAACAGTGCGGGAAACAAACATTAAAGTGAGGACTGAGTCCATCAGTAACTTTCCTTAAGCTTAATTACCAAGAGGTTGACACTGGATTTCTGTCATTCATTTCAGGAGTGACGAAGGCAAGCATGAAGGCCAGCTTTTGTAGCAGTGCCACCAGGTTGACAGGAGTCAAGCAAGACTATCAATCTTCATGATGCCTGACTGTAGGGATTAAGTTTTCTAATTATACCTCACGTAATGTTAATTAATTCAAAGCACATAAATATTTAGTCTTTAAAGTAACTTGCTCAGGTCTACACGAGGCACAATTTTTTTTCTTTTTCAAAAACAGAAAGAAATCTCCTTTTCTCTTCAAGGCTTGGTCTTGACATCTCAGAACACTATTCAGTCTAGGATGCCAGAAAATCTGAGACAGTTATAGAACCAAACCAGTTCACAAGGACTAAAGCATGGTATATCATCTGTTTCCCACTGTGTGATAGAGTCTTCACACAAAACTTTTTAGGTTATTTCCAGACTGGCACCATAAGAAAGTTAATTCTTGCAGTACCCAAATCTTTACATCCTGATGTTCACGGTATCTCCATGAAAGATGATTTTGAGGTCATCCCTAACACCCCAGAATACTTCATTCAAGTATACCTCAATCTACAATAAATTTGGTTCCTCAGGTTATGCCCTGCTGATTCCAGAAGTACCAAGGCTCTTAGCGGTTAGGACTGCTGACAGCATTAACATACTGTCTCTTCCCATGCTACTGGGCAAGCACATAAAAAGCAAAGTGAGTGACATTTTTTCTGTCAGTTGAACATTCTTTTAACTGAAGACTCTGGAAACAAGTATTGGTAACTGGTCATGGGATCTGCAGTCTCAGGCAACTGAGACTGTTATTCTAATCACTGCTTTTCCTGCTATATGTATCAACAGGAACCCCTCTTGCTGTCTTGTTTTGTGGAAGCAGAAGAGTCAGCTAACAACACTGAGATACTGAACTTCATGTGGTGAGCCATACTCTTTACAAAGATAAATTATGAGCATGTCTTTCCACAGTGATAAAGACAAAACACCTTGATAACAATATAACAAAGATATCTCTAGAAGTTAGTGCATTTCCTTTCTTTCCCTCGAGTTCAATGCATATTTATGGAAAATAAGGCAGATCAATTTTCAACTCGAGATCAGCTTAAGACAGTGTCAGAAGTGATTGTCAGGTGACATTTTGGCAAAGACCCTTGTTGGCAAAATATACTACAACATGGAAGGGATTTGGCTACAGAGTTTAAAGACAATTGTCCACGTCTGCTTGTTCAAGTGCTTTTCAATTTAAATTCAGATGAAGTGATAACAGGACCATTCTGCAAGAGGCCCAAATGTAGGGTTTCCACTTCTTGTCAAGACCAAAACTGAATAAGAGAGAAATTCTGAACTGTGGGGAGGTACCTACCAGACCCCTGATCACCTTGCATTCTGAAAAGAAGAAAAAGTATCAAGCACAATCACAGCAAGGCCATTTACTGCTCAACAGAAATGCTTCAAGTGTAGCTGATATCAAGGCATTCTGGCATGTAGGCCTGGACCTTTGTCTTTTGAACATAAAATATAAGTTAAAAACCGCTTTATGTTATTATAAAAAAGTATAAAAATAAATTCTACAATCTTTTCCTCCACCTTTTGCAACAATAGCTTTAATATTGTTGTTGAAGGCCTACAAGACTGAAGAAGTAATTTCAAGACAGAAAGCTTGCCCACTTTTATTTCATAATTATTCTGAGGCAGCCAATAAAAGATGTTACGAATCACCATAAACAGTAATTTCATTCTTTGTATCACATGCAAAAAATCTCTTTTGGCTAGAAATGAATTATTCAGAACAAAGGCTAAGAATGGGGCCTTAATCTGACATTATATATGATATAATCAAACTTATCACTGAAGTAGCTGGAATGGGCTTAATCAGCATTTACTAATCTCATAAGACCGACAAGCTGCACACTCAACTTCCACAATATTTAAGGGAAGAGCTTCAAAGGAGCTACTAACATATGAAGTGTTCCAAGTCCTCCTTAAACGTTCATAGGAAATAAAATGCTAGAAGATGACTCCTTAGATATCATTTACAGGCTCAAAAAATACCATTTCTAGTGAAGGCAAAAAAACAGGTAAGTTATGGGATTTTTGAGAACAGAGTGTAAACTGAGTGAGGTCCGAAAGGATTGCTGGTACTTTAATACATGTGTAAGAAAAACCACCTAGAAAAACATAGAAGAAAAGATCCACGGATCTGAACAATAAGCATAACAGTAATTATATATTTTAGCTTTTATTTACAGGTTAGTGTTTTGGAATGGGTAGAAGGGGAGAAATGAAAGGTCCAAATAAAATATGAATGAATAGGTAGTTGTATCAGTGTCTTTGAAGCACAAACTAACTTCTTAAAAAAAACCTGATGTCATCTGCCTGAAGGAGTTGAAATGTCCTGACAAAAGGAAAAAACCTGAACTATATTACTGAAGTCTTAAAAAAATATTTCTTAGAAAAATGTATCTTTATGAAAATGGCTCACTAGATCATGTAAACATTTGTAAATTAAGGGCATCATTTTAACGATACAAGACAATATAGTGGAATACACTTTGCCTAATTTTTTCTAGGACAAATCCTTCAACTGTTATAGCTATAAAATTCTCCTGAGACCAGGAAAGAGAGGATAATAATTTACAGACTAAAACACTTCCGTGAGTAGTCCTGTACATCACAGGATGGGGAGAAGGACTAGATGTAGTCATGAGTCTTTTTTGCTTAATATATACTAATCCTATATAGCTCTTTAATTAATAACACTGAATACCAGATGTATGATTTGAAATTTCCCACGTTCTCTAAATGACAATTGTTTCAAAGCAATACTGCACACACACTTAGGTATTCAAAGCAAGTCTAAAAGATTTTTTGAAATTTAAGCTCACTAAATTTTTTTAACATAATGCTGGAATAGAGATACAATCTTCGCCATTACACCCAGAAGTAAGAATACCAAAGAAAAGCATATGTTTCACTGGAGGAAAAGAGTAAGTTTCACAAGACAGTTACTTCAACCTACTTCCTGCCACACACAGACAAAAAAAAATGAAAGCTGTGTATCTATATATATATACACATACATGCATACATACAGGCACCTGTGTGTACATACATAAATATGTATACACACACGTTCTCTCTGTTTGGTGAAAAGTAAGCACTAGGAACCATGCTAATAAAATCGGCACCATGATGTTTCTTCTCACACGTCTATCCACTAAACCCTGTAATCACATCCTTGTCAAGAGATGCATTCAATACCCTGGATGGCTGCAGGTACATTCACTGATATGTTTTAATTTATCAGCTCCTAATCTAGCAAGCCTTCCTTCAAAGCTATTTAAAATTAACACAATTCCTAAAGTACATGCAGGACAATTGCCAAATCCTTTCTCTAATAATTAGGCATCTCCTAACTTGATGCCTACAGCTTAAAAAAAAAAATGTTTTATTCTATTAGAGCATAAAATGATGAGAACATCTCTCAAAAAAGCTCCAGCTAGGGGGAAAAAAAAAAAAAAACCAACAAATTTTAATTTTAGTCCTCTAGTTTTCCACTTTTTCAGCCAGTCTCTTACACAAAACTACAAGAAAGCTAACAATGATTCAGATTTTCATGAAATTTAGGAGCCATATTTTAAACACAGATCAGTTCAAAGTTAACACTAACTCTTTGAGATAGTCAGCACTATAAAATACATTTCTAAACCTATTGAAGAATATGATAATCACTATGCCATTGTGCAAAGCAAAGTAATTTGCAACTCAACATCTGCATCTTCAGGCAGTAAGCAAAAAGCAGGACACAGCCAACATTATATTCAACAGCACACTTTATAGCCTCTTGTCCCAACAAGGTATGTTGAGAATCAGGGGTACCTTTAAAAGCACCATACTATGCAGTCTCACAACAAAGCACATGCTGGCAAGTACAAGGAAACAAGCAGAACACCTTGAATATAGATCAGTCAGTAATCCACAATCACTGACACCTGCATCTAAGTGCCCACATGCCTAATTCTTTAAGTCAGTTGAGAGGGTGGGTAGGTAGGACAGAAAGCTTGACAAACCCTTCCAGTTCTAATAAATGGAATACAATCAAGGTTAGTATTTCTTTACGAGAGTTTCCTCTTCCCTTCCTGGGAGTGCCCAAAGACACATGTCGCAATCTTTAGTAGATGGCAAAAAGCCTGTCTTCCTAAAGGCCTTTAAAAACTTGATTTTTTAAATATCACCAGGGTAATAAATATTATTTACTTGCATGCCGGTATTTATTAAAAACATCGCTAGCGGTCAACGTTCACTCAATGTATCCCCCATTTCAGCCAAGGAAGCTCTTGTTCCTCCAAAACACAGTGGCATTTACCTCACTGACCTTGGGACTGCCTTCCTCCAGTATTTCTCCCTCATCGGTTTGCATGGGAACAGGATCTGTGCAAAGCTCTGCAGAAATGCAAAATACTGCCTAAAGGATAAAAAAGAAAGAAATATTTTAAAAACAATGATTTTTCTGCCTTTAACAGTGTTACATGAGATTGCGGTGCACATAAGTAACAATTCTAGGCTATGACCTTTAATGTTCCCATTCTGCACATATTCGCTGAATTTATACATTTTACACAAACAAGTGAGAAAACTGTTATTCAGGATAACACAAAACTCTACTTCATTAAGAGAAAAAAAGCAGCTAACAGGAATATACTTTCTTTTTAATTTTAAAACATGCAATTGCTGAGTAGTTAACATATTCATTGCGTTTACTCATTAAAGCTACAGTCAGTAAGGAATAATCACACAGACTAGAGCTGAGCAATTCATACTTACTCGGAAATAGCTTTTGTGCAAATATAAGCTTCACAGATTCAGCTTACAGGCAACCTAAAGGTTATTAGTTTGAAAAATTGTTAGACTTCCAGTGATCCCACACTACCTCTGAATTCTTACTTTAGGGAGTTTTTCCTTTACTTCATTTTAGAAATAAATACAGTCTAGGCTCTAAATGGTTCACGGAACTGATAAAGTCATTCATCTTTAGGTCAACATTTCCAATCTAACCCAGATCAACAACTCCCAGTGTTTCCAATATTCAACGCTATTTGGTAACTTATTTTTAAATTTGTTTGACAGTGTCAGCGCAGTTCCAGCTGAACAAAGTCTACACCCCAAACTCCATTCTTAGAATTGTAAAGTAACTTCTGGAAGAATGCAATACAGTTAGGGAGACTTTGGTTACAAAAATTAGAATGTCTTCCACTCCAGAGGATGAGCCATCTTTCAGAGGTAATGGATCAAATTAATCAATTTAGGACATCAAATGCACCAGCATAAATTCAGAAGGAATCTCTCACTCTCAAAATGCAAGATGTAATCTATCAGCAGATCTGTAACATTCCAGGCATGTGGAAAGTAAGGGCTCACACGGAGTTAAAAACTCTCTTAAAGCCAAGAGCGGATGGCCTTTAACAGCTGTCCCTCTCAAGATACTAAAACTCTTCAATTGCACCGGCATTTAAAATCCATTTAAAGTCTCTCCACTTCATTTTTGCACCTCAGCTACAGAGCTGCTGACTCTACTGTCACAGCAGCACTGTCACTTCACAGCAGCAATTCCAAGCCCAGAAACTGACAACTTTGGGAGTGCAATAGTAATGAGGTCAAAAAGAGAAAGCTTGGAAATTGTTCATCTAGATGCACCTCCTTCATTTCCAGGTTAAAGCCTGTTCATAAGGTAAGGCTGTCTGCGCTGCCAATGTCTTCCGTATGTTGTGCATAGGTAGACAACATCTTTCATGGCTATTAAGTTGAAGAATATGTTCTACGAACATAAAGGGCCCGAAGCTACAAAATGTTACATACAACGTATTAAATCTTAGAGCCAACAAGCTGTTAGGTTCAGTAATATCATAGATTCTCATGCAAAGCACGACAGCTGTAAGGACTTACAGCATAGTAATTTCCTTTTCTGGGGAAAGAGGAGTGAGGATAAAGCAGAATTCTCACCCAAATCCTCACCACATATTCTGCCTGCAGCATATAATCAAAAATCGTAGGTATCAAATGCTAAACAAGACTTGCATCATGCATCTATGCCAAGATCCTCCTGCATGTAGCAAGTATTTCTCGCTGCCAGGCTATGTTCTGTTGTGCGGCAGGAGGGGAGGAGGACAGGCCGAGCAGTCCCTGTCCATGGTACTTCACCGGCTGAGTTTCTGAAACCCACTCCAGAGCTCAGGAGCTGGGAGTTTCTGAGCATGATTTTGCAATATCAGATTCAAGCGATGGAGAAGATCCACAGATTGTTAGACAGATAGTCTGAAGTCTAACAGCCAAAACAGCTTTGGCCGGAAGAGTTGCTGTGGCACTGAATTAGCTTCAAATCAGCGAAACAGGCAAGACTGAACTTGAGCTACAGAAGCATGAAAAGAAGCTCATAAAATAAAACAAGACCAGTCAGGTGAGGGCAAGACCACTGCAAGGACAGGGTCACTGTTCATTCAGAGTGCTGGAAGAACTCAAATATGAACCTCTGAAAAACTGCCATGTTTATCTTCTGAACTATCCCTCACTACCAGAGGAATGGAAAGTGGAAATATTTGACACCAGTTTTTATATATTACTCCTGAAGAAGACAAAAACCTACCAACCAGTGCATCTCAAAAAACAAAAAGTCAGTAGAACTAGGAAACAGAAAACAAAATAAATGGAAAGGCTACAAGCACAAAGATAAGCAAGTTCTCCCACAGAGGACAGATTAAATACACTGGAACTATCCATAGCTCAGAGATGAGAGCAGGAAATAGAAAAACAGAGAGAAATCTGTAAAAAAGCAATGTAATGAAGAAGGAAAAGACAGTTTATTCACTCACTCTTCATTTGTCCCGTAATTCATGTTTTATCAGCTTTAATGTTCAAAACGTGTACCATACTATTTCATACAATGCTCAGTTAGAGTGAACTCACTTGCATGGGATGGCAAAAAGGTGGAAGTTTTAAAAGGCTCTGTAATTTACTGGAAAAATTCATGGGGGGAGTAGAAAATCCATCAATAAAAATCTTGCAGCTGGTGTAGGAAGACCCTAAGCCAAGAGGTATTGCAAGAGGAAGTTTTGCTGAACACTACCCTATTGTATTTTTCCCCATTGCATTTGCTTCTGGCTTCTTCCAGGAGGCAAAACATCAGGCGACAAACTAAGAGCCCAATTCAATACTATCATTTTTATGTTCTTTCTGCATACGTGAATCCCTTGATTCCCATGGCCACTGACACAAGAGTGCTGCATTTCAAGTTTATCTATTGCCAAAAGCAGGCATTTGGGGATTCCTGAATCCATGGGAAACTACCTCTGTGGCAGACTTTTGTAGCAGTCATTTACAACTGAGGATGACTTCTCAGCCAACAAAGTTGACTGCTTAGTGCCAGCATGTGAAGAAACAACATAATTATTCCATGTTGTTGACACCGCCTCTTCAGCTCACTAGCTTCTGAGCAGAGGGCTGAAGGTCACACATAGGGTAATTTACTTTGTACACAGAGGATAGATAGGCAATCAGAATTTGTACTGGCGTCTTTAGGATTGGAAAAAAGGCCAAATGCCAAAAGGCGTTTATTTACTTATTTCCAATATTTACGTGATATGTCAGGTTCCCAGGGGATAAAAATACATAACGTTTATAGACAGTCCATTTAGATTTTCAGATTCAACATCTATCAACAAAGTCACTCTTGGAAAAGGTCAAAAGTAAGATAATCCTCCTCTTCCATTCTTGCATATAACTCACCAAAACTACTTCAGATGGGACTGAAATCCCTCAATCTTTTTATTCACCTGCTATCTTCCAGAAAAATTAACCAACTTCAGCTTAAGTGAGGACTCGAAGGAAGGTCTGGCAAGTAGCAATGCACAGGTATGTCCACATATGATGTAGTAGATGCATGTCTAAAGTTAGGAACAATTTTTATTTAACTCTTTGAAATACCGTACAGTGATGAGAATCTATTCTCAAAGGTAAAAACACTCGCCAATATGAACTAGCTGCAGCTCTTATGAACTTTAATGCCCTCTACAATATTGTCCTGTCATAAAACAATATGGCTTTGGGACAATCCAGTTGGATATTTGGTCCTATTTATGTTCCATCTCTTTCTGCAGCAAAGATGTACACATTTAATTCAGTGGTATCAGGATGATGGATACAGCTACCAGTCATAAACTCAGTGCAAGCAGAAGAGCGCAGAGCGCCTGATGGATACTGTCTTTTCACTATTGCATTCTAGCATGCTCTGGCAAGTAAAACCCGAGTCAAATTTCTGTATACTTATAAATCCCTGAAAATCAATACCAGTGAACAAGGTACTTTCCCAGACCTCATTTTCCCCCAGGTAGAAAGATTCACCATTCAGAAACACACAGTCCTCATTAGCAAGAGAGCGCTGGAATCCAAATGTCTTCAAATTTGCTGTCCACCAAACAGGCATCACTAGAAATAAGCACCTTGTCTAATAAATGGGCCTTTCACACAGCAACACTTCTTTTTCAGATTGCCAGCAGCAAACAAATATGGACTAAAGAGAAAAACTTTTCTTCATTTGGTGTAGAAGAAAAAATTATTTCAAGCTTCTGAAGAGTGCAGCTGCAAGAGAAGCACTTATTAATGTAAAACCAATTATGGTTCCTGTGAATTCCAAAGACTAAATTGGATATGGCCCAGTGGAAAACCCTTGAAGGACAGCAAGGCTGTGCAAACTGCCACCTTTACAGACAGTGAGCAGAAACTGAAGGTAGGTCCCAAACTCTCTCACAAGAGCACAAAGCAAAACAGGCACACAAGTGCTCTTCAAAGATGGTGATCTTGTATACAAGGCATTCTTGAAAAAAAGCAGTTAGAACAAGGCAGTACTGTACCAAACTATGTCTTAAATGAGACTGTGCTTATTTGACATAATCGTATTGATACATGATTGCAACCATTAGTCTCTATCTAGGTACATAGACAAAAAAGTGTTAATTTTAACAGATGGTCTAGCCATATATCTAATTGCTACAGCTTTACATTACATTGAGTTTGTTAAGAACATACAAAAGCAACATAAAATTTAACATATGGAAAAAGAACAGAATATTTTTTGTCACTTTAAATGTGAGTTGAGAGGCACTGAGATGAAAGCAAGAGCATCCAGAAGATAAACAAAACTTGAATGTAACTTCATTGCTTGTAGGAACTAATCACTAACTGATTCCAGTGACTTTAAAATCTTGTCATAAATTAATCAGTTTTCAAAGAAAACCATCATACGCATCAACTTTAGCTGACAAAAACAAATCGTATCAGGCAGTTACAGAAAAAACTTCACACCCAAACCCACAGGAAATAACACACTAGAAAGTATATGAAAACAGCAACATATCCCATAGTTGGTTAATAACTACTATAGGCTAATGTTCTTCTCACCTCCAACATTCAAGAATGCAATATTGAACTTTGGTTGATTTTTACCTTTGACAGTTTCCAAGGGCTGCCAAAGCCCACAAGGATCCGTCCTGGCTACATTCAGTGCAAAAACGAAACCCTAAAAGGAGACAAAAAAAAATTTAAAAGGCCAGCCAACTGTGGGCATTACTAGATAAAACACATATAAAACCAAGAGTCAGTTGTCTCCAAAGCATTTAGAAAAAGCCATATTAATCTTAAAATCATGTAGGGTAAACAACAGCAATCGCAAAAGAAGCAATACAGCCAGACCTCTTCCCCCCCCCGGTAATTTATGCACTATTTGGGCGATAGGGGAAGAGAGATACAGTTAGGGTTAGAGTTAAGGAGAGAAGTACCTTTCTCCTCACTATTCCTCCACTTCAACTGCCACCCCAGTCTAGGAAATTATTCTTCAAAGGCAAGAAATTTACATTTCACAAAAAGTATTTAATTGCTGACCCTTAGGCTCAAATTTAGGCTCAAGTTTTAGCAAATTTAGGCTTTATGGAATAAAGTTGCACCACTGCTGGAAATGCATCTTTAACTACCTCAGAGAAAATGTTAAAAACATAATACTGTTTATTGCTTATGCATACTTCTTACTCACCCATCACCACGCAACTTAGATCAATGTAATCAGTTTTGAGAAAAAAAAATAAGAATCCTTACGCTGTGACCCACCAAACCATTTCAGAGGTACCTTGTACCTGTACCTATAGGACTTAGTCTGCTGGCTGATTAGCTTGCTCTGAATCTTCACTAAATACTACAGATACAGGCCTGACACTGAAGTCTAACAATGTACCTTGCACAGTGCTGTGTGACAGAAACCTCAAGCTGCTATTGAACAGGAAATTCCCTTCCAAGGATTTACTGTCACTACCAGAGTTTCTGCACACTTTGCCACTGGAACCACTGGGGGGGCGGAAAAGGCTAACATTTCCTCAAAGGTGTAACAGCAATACCTCCTAAAATGAATGTCATCATTTAAACTAGGCACTGCAAATTTTATACGTGCTGAAAACGTTATTTATTTGGCAGCAAGTTACAATTTTCTCATCATTAATCATCATATTATCCTTTTCACAACAGTTTTTAACTGTTTACTTGCTATGTGTGAAATGTTCATTTTTCATTCAGAAATGAACATGCAGTCAAAGCACTATCAAAGTACATGTGCAACATGCTCAATCTTCTCAATCACTCTGAAGTAGTTTTCCACGTGAAAAATGTACATTAAGTACATCATCACCTTAATATTATGATGTCCCCAAAGCATTAGCAACCTTAGAGTCCACACCCAAATTGAGAATGTTTTTACCAGGCAAGGCATTTTAAATCATTGTTAGACAGTAAGGCTCTGGAGACAGAAGTCTAATAAAACTCAAACTCTTGATTACTTTTACAATAAGTAAATGCATACTCTGAAATGAGTAAGAAGCCGTAATTTACCACTTTGTAATATTTCCTCCATTGAAAAAAATCAGCACTGCTTTCATCTTAGCAAACTAAGTAAAGCAAGTTGCATTTACCTGGCTTCACTAGACAGTAGTAGATCAAGGAAATACTTCTACTACTGAAATATATTAAAAATATTATGTGGAGGTAAGAGTAATCCACTCTGTCGTCTGTAAGTTTTCAATTTTCCCTATTAATTTCCAAAACTATAGCAAAAAAAAACCAAACCTGATTCCTTGACTGAACGTTAAAGTATTATTCATCTCCCCAAAACATCTCAGAAATACCCAGACACACCATTTAATACACTATTATTAATCTACACAGTCAAGTACACATAGGCGGAGTCAAACGCTGTTGTTGCCTTAGCAGTTTTATCATGCGTTTCTGACATGTACGTCCATCAAATGAGAGCATCAGCAAAAAAGAAAGACTAATGAAGTGTCTGTGCAGTTTTTCACAGCATAGGATCTGAAGTTCGAAAACAGGAAATATGGCAGAAGTTGGCCAAAAAGCAGCTTTTCCCAGAAATGGGTTTTTGCAGGCTGGATACTGAAATACTGTAGCATTAGTATCTAGCAAAAGCATTCAAAGCTCCAGCCAAACCACCACATGCTTATAGACCACTAATGCCTCCATGGGAAAAGAGAGAACTGCTACTAATTATGCCAATAATCTGTCTTATCTCATTACAGAATCTTATTCATGAAGAGGAGTATGGATTCCTATCCCTAATTGAAAAAAGCCTCTCGGCAGTATCTATTTAACTTTTAATAGATATAAGACAAGAAAAGACTGATGTTCCTCCTCTTGTTACTCTGACAAATTTAGGCCTATGTTTCTAGAGCAATAACAATGTTAATTAGCAAAGTCAAAGTGGCACAAGAGAGTAGGACCCAGTGAAAACAGTTTGGGTTAAAGACAGAACGCGATATGTAGCTGAGTAGGACTGCAAAGATGTTACAGCGAGGAGAATCTCAGTGTCTACCACAGTCACAACAGAATTTAAATGTCATGCATACATCTCGTCCTAATTCAAATCCTCAGAGTAAGTATCTACTTCTGCCGACAGCCAGGGCTTTAGGATGCATCAACCCACTTGCCTGGACTGCACAGGAAAAATCTTAGCCAGGAAAGCAGACGGGGTTTGATTAGGTAGCCAGAGGGGAGAAAAAGGAAAAAAACCAAAAACAAAACCAAACAAAAAACCCACCCACAAACCCACCATTCCTCTGACAGAACGAAGGGGGGCACCTCCCCCTTCCCTCCAAGAACTGTGACAGTTCATAGGGAAGCATTAATCAGCTAACTACAACACTTACTTATTAATTCAGGCACCCAGGCACACTGAAAGATCAAGACTCAGTCTTTATTATCTTGCCATAGCAGAAACAATTCATTATACCTACGTACTTCTGGCTTACATATATTAAGTCCTGCCCTGACAGACTAGAACTGTATGCATGTATAGTGTAACCCCCCAAATATTCTGTATGTATTTCTAGTTCCAATATAGTCAAGTGCAGCAATTTGCTTAGCTGGGTTAGGGAATCTATGAAACAGCAAAATATCCCGTGCAGTCAGGACTCCTAGACTAGCTTTTTTCCTCAAGTATTCTTTAGGGTGCTGCACATCTTCCCACATTTGTGCACAGGGTCCTTTACTTAAAGCAAATATCTCCTTTCTGGTCACCTCACATAAGCTGCCTCTGTAGGAACACAAAATATTCCAGGTGCACAGAACTGAAAGGAACAGGTTGCCATCAAGAAAATGTTTTCTTCAAATTCTCCCCCCCAGCCTCCCATCCAAATCTGGAGAAACAGAGACTATGAGATACAACAGAACAGTAAGAAGCCCTAAAAAAAAAAAAAAAATATAATTTCTATTCACAAGTGGGAAAAAAACACAGGGTGAAACTGTTTTTTTTGTATAAGAACTGAGAGAACACACACAAGTGTGTTCAAGGAAAGTGATTACATAATCCTACAATAACTCCTGAATATTAAATATTAGGTGTAAAAATTAATCCCATTACCTACCAATTATCGGGTATTTAATCCTATTTTGAAAGAATAACATATCAGCAGCACTGAACTGGCTAAAGCTCAAGCCCATTTCAACTCATTCAGAATCCACCACCCAGTCTTAACCACAGCTAGAATTAAATACTTCAATTTTGGTTTCGCAAAACATAACCAACTTCCAGGAATGAAAAGAGGTCCAGAAGTATTGGTTTACCACTATACATCCAAGTTAACATCACTAAAATCTAAATTATTCCAGTTGCCATTATTCAGGCACCATAAAAGAAAGGTTTGTTATGAAAGTAACCAACAGGTGGCATGTTTCTAAATTCACTGCATCACCTTGTTGGCTACTGCTCATACTTAATGTACTACAGCATTATCTAGTGACAAACTGTTCCTGTCATTGGACTAGCTGCCATAAACTGAGTATTTTCTCCTGAGCTCCTAGCATTAACTGAGAGCTTTCTGGGCATGATTTCCATTCAAATAGTAATTTGGAGACAAAAGGGGGTCTTTGCTGCCAGGGTGGTTTAACTGTCTCTTTGCTAAGTGGGTAAATGTTTGACAGCAGCAAATTTTAATTTTAAGCTTAGTTCTGACTTGGTTGCTTTATCAGAATCATTCCACAACATAAAAGCACACTCTCTGCTCAGAAGGCCTCAAGCTGTCTAAAAACATCACCTCACAAAAACCAGCTGCCGACATAAATACACAAAAACATCACATGCCCAATTAGGATATTGGGAAGTTGGCTTAAAGTCATTCATGACTTCAAAACAATACAGAAATATTTCATAGTTATTCATCTACAGCACACTGGCACTCCAACAGTCATGATTTACTATAAAAATTATCCAACACAATCCAGGTCTCACTGTGGTAGTCCTTCTCCGCTTTACTCCACTTTTGGAGACTGAAGAGGGAAATGGAACTTGTACTCAATTAGAAACAATTCGCTAGGAGAAGGAGAGATGCTACTGGTGCTTGAGAGAAGATTTACAACCTCTTTCTTTCACATTGTTTAGAACCATCTCTTTGCATTAGTTAGGTGGAAGGAAATTCAGGAAGGATTAGCACTTCAAGGAAAAACGAACTAAAGATAGACTCTAAACAAAGCAGCGGGGAGGAATGGGAGAAGGCAGAAATCCTCAGCCTCTTAGAAAAAAAAAAAATCCAGAGATCATCATTCAGCAATGGCAGCTGAGTACTCCACAAAATCACCGTGGTGTTCTACAGCAAAACACGACACTGGACAAAATGTCCATTATGTTTAATTCAGTGTTGGCTGCACAACTTCATATTCAATATGCAGTTCAATATTAACTTCTCTGCACTGACGTTTTCTGTACTATATGGAAAATGCTTCAGCTGTTAATGTAGATATGACACAGCCACTTTCAACGACAAGATAAATAACTGTAACTTGGAACAGATATCATGTACATTAGTCTGTACTGCTCTCCTAAGGGAACATGAGAACAGAAGGACTATACTGAAGTTACGTCATTAACCTACATGTACAAAACACAAGCCCCAGTTCACAGGACTTAAGTCTTTTCACATCAACAGCCCAAAAATAAATTAGCAAACCCCTTTCATAAAAGAGAACGCT